AAGTCACGTTCGCACCGCAGGCTGAGCTCACGCCCTCAATTCCCACCGGTCCTTGGAGCACCCACGCTGGTGACTAGGGCTGAGGGATGGTGGACGGAGGGCGTGCCAGGTCAGAAAGAATCGTGGAGGGGCTTCATCCAGCCTGTCCTTTCTCTTCCCCCCATCCTTTCTCTTCCCCCTGGGTCCCTGCTGCCCCTGGGCTCCTTCCCAGCCTGTGCCTCATCTGGGATGTGTCCTCTGAGGCAGGCCATAGCAACTGCCCTTGACCTTATTGTTACCTACCCTCTAGGCTCCTCTCCCAGGCTTCACGTTTGGGCGGAGGATGTGGCTGGCAGACACGGTGATGCCTGCGTGCCCGGGCAAAACAGGGGAAGAGAGGAAATACCAGCTGGCTTGGCTTGTGTGTGTATGTGCACCTGTGGGTCAGCATGTGCGTGTGTGTGTCTGCATCTGTGTGTGTCTGCATGTGTATCTGTGTGTGTCTGTGGGTGTGTCTGTGCATGTGTTCTGTGTGTATCTGTGCGTGTATGTCTGCATGTGTGTCAGTGTGTGTGTCTGCATGTGTCAGTGTGTGTGTCAGTGTGTCTCTGTGTTTGTGCATGTGTGTGTCTGTATGTGTGGGTGTGTATGCATATGTGTGTGTCTGTGCATGTGTATGTGTCTGTGTGTGTGTGTGTCTATATGTGTGGGTGTCTGCGTGTGTGTCTGTGTGTGTGTCAGTGTGTATGTCTCTGTGCATATCTGTGCATGTGTGTATGTGTGCGTGTGTCTGTATGTGTGGGTGTCTGCGTGTGTGTCTGTGTGTGTGTCAGTGTGTGTGTCTCTGTGCGTATCTGTGCATGTGCATGTCTGTATGTGTGGGTGTGTCTGTATGTGTGGGTGTGGGTGTGTCTGTGCGTGTGCATGTGTACAATATTGTTGGCTCCCCCTCCAGAGAGGCCTTCTCAGACTGCCTCCTCTTAAACTAACCTCTTCATCCTCTTATCCTGATTAATTTTTTACACACTTTCCCCTGGCCGACACCATATTTTACACACACACACACACACACACACACAGAGTTTATGGGTTTGTCGTCCCTCTTTCCCGCTGGGTTAACTACTCTAATAAAACAGAAGTTCTAGGCAGAAAGGAACCTTGCTTGTCCTGTGATTCCGTGTGAGTGGCATCAGGACAGAGTCCCTGCAAGTGGAGCCGGGAAACAGGGAGGGCGGGCACAGGGGGAGTGTCGTCCTCCAGGCTGCAGACCAAGGTCACAGAAGCCTCCCCACCCATGGCTGAGGCCTGCTCCCGGGAAGGTTGAGAAACCTCCACCATCTCCAGGAATGGTGGCCTCCGCTTCACCAACACTATCCAAATCCCACCCAAGTTCCCCAAAGTAGTGAACCCTCACCCAGGCCCACACGTGGGAGGGATAAGGGTGTTGCTGCTGAGGGCACAGCCAGCCAGGAGACAGGAGGCTCCCAGACACACAGCAAGCAGTCGATCAATATCCATGAATAAATGGGCAAACTAATAAGTAACCCATTGATATTTAGACTGATTTAAATGCACTACAAAGGGCCAGGCGCAGTGGCTCACACCTGTAATCCCAGCACTTTGGGAGGCCAAGGTGGGCTGATCACTTGAGGTCAGGAGTTCGAGACCAGCCTGGCCAACATAGTGAAACCCTATCTCTACTAAATATACAAAAATCAATCAGCTGTGGTGGCACATACCTGTAGTCCCAGCTACTCAGGAGGCTGAGGCACCAGAATCGCTTGACCCCAGAGGGCAGAGGTTGTATAAGCCAAGATCGTGCCACTGCAGTGCAGCCTGGGCAACAGAGTGAGACTTTGTCTCAAACAAAAAAATGTGTTAGAAAATTTCAAGATTCTGATTTTCAACAGCTAATAATCTTGTTCATCTATTTAAGAATATTGCACAGCAATATTTATTTAACCCGTGAAAGGAAAATCAATCTCGGGACCACCAAATCACTAAGCCAAGGGGAAAAGTCAAGCTGGGAGCTGTGATAGGCAAACCTGCCTCCCATTTTATTCCTAAATAAGATAGCTGCAAAGATTTTAAAAGCTACATACCTCCATCACAATTTTCCCACAGGGAAATTCCTTGTGGGCCTCAAGATCTTTCCCAGTTCTGTTGAATTTTACCCTGACAGTGTAAACCGATAGCTTCCCTTCCAGGGTGTGGGACAGAAAGTCATCCCTCTGCTCACCTGAGGCAAATGCACATCTGATTGCTTCCTCTGCCCTTTTGTTTATGGAGAATGGAGATTCACTGAGCCAGACTAAGGCATAAGTGACTCTTCCTCTCCCCCCGTCACATGTAAATTGTATATTCACTGAAAGGCTGAGCAAAAACTCAAAAGAATGCAAACTGTGGGCTCCTATCTGCCTATGACCTGGAAGCCCCCGCTTTGAGTTGTCCCACCTTTACAGACCAAACCAATGTACAGCTGACACATATTGATTGGCCTCATGTCTCCCTAAAATGTATAAAAAGCAAGGCGTCCCCTGACCACCTTGGGCGCATGTCAGGACCTCCTGAGGCCGTGTCACGCAAGCCTTTCACCTCGGCAAAACAAACTTTCTAAATGGATTGAGACCTGTCTCAACTACTTTGGGTTCACAGAACAAAAGCTCATTGTTGCCACAGTTTGCGCAACTTCTCAGCAGCCAATGCATTGAGATACATAGGTTCTGTCATCAGTTTTATTTGTGAAACCTGGTTGTTGTTCCTACCTTCAAAAGCAGGGACGTCTTTCACTTAACCTCCACCAGCTTTTATCTCATCCTGCTGTGGGCAGACCTTGTTTACCCTGCCAAGTCCCTGCCACCTGTGGCTTCAGTGGCTCGTAGGCGGGAACCAAACCTTTTAATCCCTAAAATCCCAGCCCCATGCACATCCCGGCACAGAGGATAGGCTCCGTTGTTATGCCCAGACCGTTTATTCCCCGAAGAAGACCACCAGAGTCCAGAGTCAAAGCTAAGCAGCAAGGATCTTTATTACAGGTTCGAACCTGGAACTCTCCCTCGCTCGCGAAACGAGACGGGCAGGAGAGCTCCCCCACTGAGCTCCGAGCAGTGTTATATAGTCTAAGAAAAGTGGGCATAGAATTATTATACAAATCAGATATATGACTGGCTAGTGTTTGAACAAGGCGATTTGGCTAACTATGATTGGTTCCCGCCATTTCTGATATTTCGGTTCAACCTTTGAGGCGGGAGAGCAGTTTTATGGCAGCAAGAGTTTATCTTACTTAAACACATCTTGTGACCTTGCCTCAGAACTTACAAAATTTCTGGTACGTGCAGAAAAACAGGTACTCACAGAATTTATGAAATCTTTGGTATGTGCAAAACAAAATCTCTGGTACGTGCAGAAAAACAGGTACTCACAGAATTTACGAAATCTCTGGTATGTGCAAAGATTAGACAGCAGAACAAAGGGTGTAGCAGGGGGGGCGGGTACACATCTATCTTTGTGTCCTTTCACCGTGACTGTTTGCCAAATGAGTAAAAGGAAAGGAATCTGCGCACAGTGTGCCTCATTACTAATCAGCTTGGATAAGAGCAAATCTATGACAGGTTCCATTATCACTTCTAGTTATGTGTTAGAATACGCTCTCCCGGAGCCAAGGCACACCATGGTGCAGAGACAGTTTGATGACAACCCAGTACCCAAAACACTCTATTGAGGAGGTATCCAGTTTACATGGCCATAATTCATACTAGCATTTTAGGTGAACTACGAATCCGTTCATCTATTAGAGATACAGTCTGATAGGTTGGGAAGGGCATGGGCTTTGGAATCCAAAGCCACGTCTGGATCCTGACTTCCCTGTTTTCCGAGCTGGCCATGGAAAGATTGTCTTGTATTTCACTAGTATCTCCAAACTGCCTGTCTATATTTGGGCATTATGGTCTGCTTTCCTGGGTTGTTGTAAGAATGAAATACGATGCCTGCAAACTATATGGCATAGCATTTATTGATGAGGATGTAGAGAAATCAGAACCCTTGCACACTGGGGGTGAGAATATAAAATGGTGCAGCTGCTATGGAAAACATCATAGTGGTTCCTCGAAAATTAAACATAGAATTACTATATGATCCAGTCCATTCTTGCATTGCTATAAAGAAATACCTGAGACCGGGTAATTTATAAAGAAAGAGTTTTAATTGACTCATCATTCCACCGGCTGTGTGGGAAGCATGGCTGGGGAGGCCTCAGGAAACTTACAATCACGACAGAAGGCAAAGGGTAAGCAGGCACATCTCACATGCCAGAGCAGGAGCAAGAGAGAGCAGAAGAAGGGAGGTGCCATGCACTTTTAAACAAACGGATAATGTGAGAACTCACTCACTACCATGAGAACAGCAAGGGGGAAATCCGCCGCCATGATCCGATCACCTCCCACCAGGTTTCTCCCCCAACACAGGGGATTACAACTCAACATGAGATTTGTGTGGGGACACAGTGCCAAACCATATCCATACCCAAAGTAAGTGAAAGCAGAGACACAAACAGATATTTGTACATTCATGTCTATAGCAACATTATTCACAGTGGCCAGAGGGAGGAAGTAACCCAAGTGTCCTTGGACGGCAGAATGGATGAGCAGAATGGGTCATCCACAGGCGATGGAACATTATTCAGCCTTAGAAAGGAGGAAATTCTGACATGTGCTACTCCACGAATGAACCTTGAAAACATTATGCTAGGTGAAATAAGTCCAGTCACAAAACAACAAATACTGTATGATTCCACTCATATGAGGTACCTAGAGTAGCTGAATTCATACAGACGGAAAGTAGAATGGGGGTTGCCAGGGAAATGGAGAGTTGGTGTTTCATGGGTACAGAGTTTCCGCTGGGAGAGATTTTAAAATATCTAGAGATGGATGGTGGTGGTGGTTGCATAACAATATAAATATAGTTAGTGCCACAGAACTGCACACTTAAAAATGGTTACGATGGTCAATTTTATGTTATATAGATTTTTCCACAATTAAAAAAAAAAAAAAAGTAGCCTTTTCACAAGATGGCGCCGAAAGAAAAGAAGGAAGCTCCTGCCCCTCCTAAAGTGGAAGGAAGCCAAAGTGAAGGCTTTGAAGGCCAAGAAGGCAGTGTTGAAAGGCATCCACAGCCACACAAAAAAGAAGACCCACACGTCACTCACTTTCCGGTGACACTGCAACTCCAGAGGCTGCCCAAATATCCTCGGGAGAGCGCCCGCCGGAGAACAAGCTTGACCACTATGCTATCATCAAGTTGCCGCTGACCACTGAGTCGGCAGTGAAGAACATAGAAGAAAACAACACACTTACATTCATTGTGGATGTTAAAGCCAACAAGCACCAGATCAAGCAGGCTGTGAAGAAGCTCTATGACATTTATGTGGCCAAGGTCAGCTCCGGTTCGGCCTGATGGAGAGAAGAAGGCATATGTTCAACTAAATCCTGATTACAATGCTTTGGGTGTTGCCAACAAAATTGAGATAGTCTAAACTGAGTCCAGCTGGCTGATTATGTGTGTGTACATAAATATATATATATATATATATGCACAAGAAATAAATGTTTGCTTTTATTTGTCTGCTTGTGAGGGTCACATCTTAAGAAAAGTTTACAGAAGTCAAGAGTGATGGTGATGCCACAACTGGAAAGACTGGGCACATGGAGGCTCTTGCCCCAGTGACGACACTGCTGCTTTCCAGTGAGGCTGTTTTCAAGCCTGAATCCTGAGCCTTTGTTCAAAGCATGTCATCTCTCCAAGGTCCTGAGCAGACCACCCGGAAGGTGCAGTGGAGATGGTTTGGGGAGGGATGGAGTCATGGCTGTGGAGTACAGCAGGGGTACCATTGGCTCAGAAGTCCTTTCTCTCTATGACAGAAACCAAACTGCTGGTTGTGTGTCTAGCGACAAACCCGGGAACCTGTGAAAATTTGAAAGCCCTGAGCAACCCCTACCAAGAGCGTTCCCTCAGTCCCTGATACCAAAACACCTGGCATCCCAGGTGAAGGCCTAGCTCCGCTGCCATCTCCAGGAGGGAGCTGAGGTCTCACCACAGCAACACACCTGCTATCCCATCCCTCCAAGATGCAGCAGCCCAACTGCTCCATCCATTCCTTTCATTTCACTGCATCACTGGCCAGTGGAGTCACTGTTTAATATACGAATGTTGGCAAATTCCATGATGACACAAATGAAAATATCTACACCTAGTATTTGCATTTGATATATAAACATGCTTGTTGTATAATGAGAATTACAGTTATCCCAGCCCAGGGTGGTATCCAACAACTCCTATGATTCACACCATCTCCAATGCTCTGAGCACGGGATAAATACTGAACCAGGGGAACACAGTAGGCCTGGACTAGGTGGAAAGGCAGTCGACCCCAGCTCAGGGACATTGCTGGAAGCCCAGGTTGGACCACACAGGTATAGGGATTAGGAAACCAAAGACGATTGAAATGAAGTGCCCACCTTCAAGGAGTATGAGCCTCCAGGTGCCTACAGAAAAAGCAAAAGCAGTAAGGCCCACCATCACTGACTGGGTGCCAGGCACTATTCTAATTTCATAACAACATTTAATCCTCACAACAGTCTTTTGCAGTAGATACTGGTTATTGTCACCACCTCACAAATGGGGAAACTGAGGCACGGAGCATAAGGTAATTCCCCCGACACCACCCAGTTCCTCACAGTGGGTAGCCTCCTGAGTCTGCAGACCTGCCATGCTGTAGGGTGCAGCCTAGTCCCGTAACCCAAGCCAGGAGGTGAGGAAGGTTTCCAGGCTGCATGAAATTCACCTGGAGGGAGCTGATCCCATTCTGGATCGTAGATTCCAATGGAGGAAGGTAAAAACCTTAGAACTCATGAGGGCCACACTCATACTTAATAAACAAGGACCCAAGGCCAGGAAGGGACCCCGTGAAGATTCTGGTTGGTCGTTGCTGGGAGCATCCAGCTTGCTCTTCCAGATGCTGTGAGTGTCTGGCAGTGCTTACTGCTTATGGTCACAAAACAAGCAGTCTGCTTTGATGAGAAAGCCTGGCTCCAAGCCAGGGCTCACATGGCAGGTGCATGATTATTTATTAAGCATGCAGGGACCCAGAATCCAGCACCCAGCCTGGCCTTCCACGGGCTTTACAGGGAAGCAGCTATGCTGGGTGGTAGGAGGTAAGGAGGAAATGAGGGTTTATAGAGGTAGGAGGGAGCAACCGGGGGAGAGAGTACACTCCCTTTTTCCCTATAAGACAGCTGTTCCATTACATCCTGAATTACCCAACTCTTAATACTGTTAAAACATAAAGCTTGCTTCGTTTTGGTTACTTTTAAAGGCAGCTGTAATTTTGAAGTCCATAGGTAGAGTTGGGGCAGGATTGTTTGTTTGAAGATCTGGGCCAAGACCTGCCTCCGACCTGGTCTCCGTGCCCAGCTCATTGGCCTCTTCTGCCCAGAAGCCAACCTGCAGTGAGTGAGATCCAGGACGCAGGAACGAAGTCTGCCTTCACACGGGTACACTGGTGGCAGCCCCAGAAGCAACCTGCCCTTACACAAGGCCATGAGCCCCAGGCGTCGGATTCTTCCTTCTCCACGCTGCTCTCTGGCATGTTTTCCTCACCTCCCTACTTGCTCCTTTACCTTTACTTCCTATCCTTCCTGGACTCCCAGAAACACCACAGGACCGGAAGCCAGAAGACTCAGCATCTACAGACCCAGTAACTGGAAAACGCAAAGCAAGTCGGTCCACACTGTTGAACATCATTAGTTTCCAGCTCCAGAAAATGGGACCTTGGGGAAGATGGATCTGCTATACTAGTCTCACAGGCTGAGGCAGTGATCATATGAGAGCATGGGTCCTTCAGAACCTTTTACATACTGTGCAAACGTGCCAGGATAGGAAGCCCCAGCAGAGATGGCTAATAGGTGACATCCCAAAAGAAATGTGTGACCATTTCATGGGATGTTTTCTCCAAGCTAAAGGTGATGGAACATCCTATTCATTATCTTAGACCCTAATAATTAGCTGTTCAATCAATGAGTGCATAAATGAGCCAAAACCAGTTAAGGATGCATGCATCTGAAATTAACAAATACCCACTGAGCTTTCATTATGTGCCAACTGTTGTCATGGGTTTCCTTTGTGTGAAATTCAAAGACTAAATCACCTTCTAATGTAAAGGCAATAAAGAGGCAAACAACTCTGATTCAAGGCAGAGGCACTGGGGGAAAAGTAAAAAGTACAGTGCAGATTCAAAAGGAGGAAAATGCTACATCATTGGGAGGTCAGGAAAGGTTCACTGGCCATGACACATGGACAGAATTCCAAACTGTGTCACTACGAAAGGGTGTCCCAGACCAAGGGAATCATCTGCCCGAAGCTATCAAGGCAGAAGACGTGGGACTTGGAGGGAGCAGTAAAGCCAAAGCATAGGTGTAAGTGGAAATGCAAGAAAAAAGTAGACACTAAACCAGGAATATGTGATTGGATCCAAAGAACAGAGGTCTCCAAGTGTCAGCTGAGGATGTTAGATTTACTCTCAGGACAGGAATGAGTGTCTGGATTCTTCCAGGCATTGGTTGACACAACAGATTCCTTTTGCAGAAGAGAAAGTGATCAATTATGGTTTCAGTTAATAATCCCCTGCCTAAACATAACTTCCTGCTCCCTGGTGCAAACACTCTCTCCCAAGTGAGCAAGTCACTAGCCCCTGAAACCTAGCGATCATCACGTATTAAATGGGATTAGCAGTACCCAGATCAGTGTTGTTCTGGGAATTAACTGTGACAAGAGCTACGCAAGTATCTGGCTTGGAGATGTGTCTTTTTGTCGAAAGTACAACAACTTTTTTTGGTAGGGACTTATTTGCAATGCAGACACACCTAAAATGAGGAAATACATTCCAGAATTATCTAGCTGAAGAAGACTCCATGTCATAGGTTAGGAATTTCAGGGGTGGGAGTCAGTGTCTTGCCACAGCATTGATCCCAGACACCAGGCCTCCTGACCCCAGCGTCCTCTCTCTTGCTGCTGGTTTCTCAGAAATCAAACACCAGAGAGTGAGTAAATGCATCTGGGATGTTTCCTGCAACAGAAAAGCCTGGCCTTTCTTGCTCATCCTAATCCCCCATCCGTTAAAAGTCCTGAGTGCAGATGTTGAAGACAACATTGACCAACTCTGCAAAACCGCTTTGTTGCTGACTTGCATAGAACAGAGAGTGCAAGTAGTCAACCACGAAGTCAAGAAGATCACCTTATACGGACAGAACCTTGCCTTGACTCTGGAAGCTATATCCCATCTACCTCCCATCCCTAAATGCACAGGTGGCATGAGTTATTGGGTGTATCATTTTGCAGATTAGGAATTAATGGCTCAGAGAAATTGAACAACTACGCCAAGAACATATGGCTGGTAACCATCGATTGTCTCAGCTTCTGCAGCTTCTCAACATGCCATTGCCTTCACCAATGCTACCAGTTACCTCTGTGTTGCTGAAACCAGTGAGCACTCTTTCGGTCTCTCTCACCAAACACTTTCTTCCTAAAAGCCCTTATCGTCCCCTGGCTCTCATGACACCACACTCCTCTGGTTTGGTGCTCTCAGAACACTTCCTCGCACTGTTGTTGTTTGGCCAATCCAACTCTACTGACCTCAGATGTTGGAGTTACCCAGGAATGCCCCCCTTGGCCCTCTCTGCTTTTCATTCTGCAGAGAGGAATTTCACGCACCCCTTTGGCATTGATTGCCTCTCTAGGCCAGCTTAGAAGCATGTATCCCTGCCTGAATGGCCCATGCACTTCTCAAACTCCACAAACCCAAAGCCCAACTCACTGTCTGCAGCTTGTCCTTGTAAATCACAGCTCCATCTACCTGAAATGATTCTGGCTTGAGTCTTCTCTCTCCTCCACTTCCTACACGAAAATAAACCTTTTCATTCCTCCTTCTAAGTATTAATAGCTCTTAAACCTTCAATTTCTACCATCCTCACCACCACCCTGCCTCTCATACCGGACTCATCTGGTAGCCTCCTAACTGGGCTCCCTGCAGCTACTCACATCTTCTTCCAAATCAGCCTCCACAAAGCAACCAGGCTGATGTTTTCAAAATGTAAATGGGACCATGGTACTCTCTTAAAATCTTTTGATAGGTGTCCAAATGAATGACTGGATAAACAAAATGTAGTATATACAGACAATGAAATAGTATTCAGCCTTAGAAGAAAGGAAATTCTCACACATGCTACATGGATGAGCCTTGAGGACATTGTGCTCAGTAAAAGAAGCCAGACGCAAAAGGACAAACACCGTGTGATTCCATTCAGATGAGGCACCTACACTAGCTAAATTCACAGAGATAGAAAGTAGAGCTGGGGTTACCAGGGGCTGGGAGAGAGGAAAGTGGGAGTTACTGTTT